GAGAGAGAGAGAGAGAGAGAGAGAGAGAGAGAGAGAGAGAGAGAGAGAACACGAACCGCCTTTGCGGAGCGATGCGCGCTCTCCCGCGCCTCTCCGACCAGTCTCTAGGCCCGGATCGATTCGCCTCTCATCGGCCCTGACATGCAAACCCAAAGTGTCCGCCGGAGCAGAGAGGGCGAGGGGTGGTAGAGAGAGAGAGGAGGGTGGGCAGAGATGAGAGGACACGCATCATCAGTTTAACTCTGGAGCCTCGCCACCATCTCTGCTGCTGCTGTGTGTGTTTTTTGATCCGGTTCCTCCTCTCCACCTGCCGGGTTCTCGCGCCTCCCGATGCTGTAAACCGGGGGAATATGTGAGGATCATGCTGGCGGTGTGGTGCTTCATGGTCTTTGCTGCAGTGGGCGAGAGGCTTGCAGTCTCAGGTAAGCGAGAGAGAGAGAGAGGAAGAAGGGAGGGGGGGGTGAGGGGGAGCACCCTGTTCGTTTTCTTTGGCATCCACAATTTTTCCCCCCGGAGCAGCACTTTCCTAACATYGGATTTAATGTTTGTGCCGAGCAGCTCTCTGCTGCATCAACAGATTTCCACTGCAGCCTGTGAGAGTGAAGTTAAAAGCACCAGAGCAAGGAAATCTGCAAACTTAATCGTGCTGCAGATTTAAATCCATGTATTTGAGCTACATGAGCACCTATAGAAGTGTGGCATAACCGCCTAAACGAATACCCATCAAGACACTAATTACACCCTTTTAATATCTCAGAATAGTGAGCGGTGTGTTAAATTAGGTCACCGAATCATATTAGACAATAAAGAAGTTGCTGCATGATCAGACTGATCAGCCTGTCGTCGGTACATTCCAGGTGCAGATGGAGGCATGTGGGACTGGTTCGGCCCCTCCGGCCGGCTGGACGGTTGGGAAACTGCGACTGAGGTTGCTTATCCCAAACGTCTGGTGCAGCAAGCCGAGTCCGAGGAGGAAATGGCTCATGACTACTTAAACACCCGGGTGAGGAACGGCACCGGGGACGGCTCGGTGAGTTGTCGTACTCCGTAGGACAAACTTCCGCCCTCTGCCCTCTCAGCTCATCACAGTCCTGTTTGTGTTTGCTCTGTGAATTCTCRCCCACTGCAGGCTTAATTTGGCATCAAGGGATACCCAAAGTCAAGGAGTCTCCCTGTTGTTGAAAATGAAGGATTAAAACACGAAACCCAAAAACTCAGATTTAATAGTTTTTATTTTTGCTGCATGCTCTGCAGGGTAACCACTCTTTCTCATCTTTTAATTTTTTCCCGCACTCCTCAAATCTGTACTTTAGAAATTAAACAATGTTTRGTGTTTGTAGCAGCTCCAGTCACTGAGATTCTGACTCATTTAGCTGCTGAAARTACCCTTGATTGTCCACATTGTATCAGTATGGCAAGCAGTTTGTGTATTTATTCAATATCCTTGATATCAAGTGTCCTTTTTGCCCAGTAGTTGGTGACTACAATGTAATAGTTTTGTGCACTGGTTCAACAAGCACTCGGGTTGGAACATAGTTTATAATAATCAACTATTTTTACACAGGTAGTTTTAAACCAGGGGTGGACAGTCTTGGTCGTCGAGGGCCCCAGCACAGCCCTGCAGCCCTKTTTTACTTGTTCTTCTGCTCTACACACCTGGTTTGAATGAATGGGGGATTATCAGACTTGTGCAGAACTTGGAGGAGGTAATTCAATGACTGAATCAGGTGTGTTTGATCTAGAACGCATGCGAGCCCAATGGCGGTAGCTGCGCGGCGTAGCTAACGCTAACCGTATGAGCTCACCTGAAGGAAAGCTGGCGGAGGCCACAGCGATACGACAAACTCCTCCAGCAGATAAATCTACTCAGCCCAGAATCCACGATGCTCTCAATGTGTCCTTTATGAGCGACAAAAGAAGATGATGGGATGGAGCCTGACAAGTGTCACCTATTATATTAATCATTATCGGCTAAATGTCGCAATTAATCGTTTTTGCCCATACTGCCCAACCCTACTTTTATGACCTCTGAACCAAACTAGTCAATAACTGCAACCAAAATGATCACTATTAGGCTTATTATGACTCCCGCACGCGAAGCGAAAGCGGGAGTCATATTGTTTTCATACTTTTTTTTTTTTGGTTTGTTTGTTCTTTTTTCTCCGGAGATTTTTGGTCAACTGTAGCACAAAAACAGCTGCACCGGTCAACATGAAATTTGGCAGGACTGTAGATGAGTCTGACCTACATTGCGCCAGCCAACAGTTTTACGATAGACCCCATTTTTGAGGAGGGGGCTCCTTTCAAAGACTTGGTGTCTGGACATGCAAAAATGCTAATAACTCAGAAACTGTTCAACATAGAAGCTTCAGATTTCTTTGGTTGTTTAGCTCTGATGAAGCTCTATCCATCAGGCCCACCAATCAGTCCCCCCCCGACCCCTAATTTATCTGAAAAAGGGGTATCTGGACATACAAAAATGTTTTTTGCTCAAAAACTATAAAACATAGGAGCTTCAGATTTCTTTGGTTGTTTAGCTCTGATGAGGGGCTATCCATCAGGTCAACCAATCCCCCCACCCCCAAAAAAGACCCCTACCCAAACCACCATAATTTTGGGATGCACCTAGTAGCATGACATTTATTAGGAATAAAGACTTCTGAGTTCTGGTGCATTTGTGCGTGCGGGGGTCATTAAGTTACCGCTATGCTGTATCTAGTTTTTAGTCTTATTAGTTGTGCACATAGCCAACTTGACTAGAGGCTAAATTTAGTCTATTAGTGCACCTAACTGGTAACTAGTTCACCAGTAAACTGAAACTGTTCTGCAGCTGAGGAGTTGAGACTTTTTTGGTGGAATAGGGTTCCTACAAAATGTTAGCTAAACTGATGCCTATTAGGCCAAATTTACTAGCACTAGTCAACTAAATTGGGTCTTACTAGTTCATTAGTACARGTTAAAATGTCTAGTTGACTAGGATTTTTGGATGAACGAATTAATGTTTCTAAAATTGTCAACTGCTGGATATCAAATCTATGAAATGCGAGTGTTTCCGGTTAGCAGTTTGAGTCGTAGTATTAGATCGGCACAGCTCGGCTAAATTTAGACAAACTCTGTCCTCTCGTCGGTCTTCTCATAAAGCCGAGTAGATGACAAATCTTGAAATATGCCTCTGTCTCTTTAAGAACCTCCTACCGTTTCCAACACTCCCACTTCAGCATGTCTTCACAGCAATGCTTCAGGGGAGGGGTGCTCTGCGTGGGTGGGACGTGAATGTAAGAGTAGTGCACTGAAAATATTGACCAGTAAGATCAAAATGAAATGAAATGTCCATTAGTTAAAGCTTTGTTGGCTTCAGTGTGATTTAAATCTGTGTTTATCAGCCAGTCGTTACTAAAACGGTTTGTTTTACGCAGTTTAAAATGTTTGCACGCGTTCTGCCACCATCTCCTCACGACCCATCCTGAAATATTCTGACATTGTTCGATCATCCACCCTGACACCCCACACCCCCCACCCACCTCCACGTCCATTATTCAGTGGTCTGTTGAAGTATGTTCCCCATTAAATATGAAGCAGGTCTGTGTGAAAAGTGCAGCAAAGAGGTTTGAGMACCGTCCCTTCTTCTTCTGCCTCTCTCATCTGACGGAGTTAAACGTCAGGAGGAAGCACGAGGCGCGTCATCGTCACGTGACGGCTCCGATGAATAATTAAGAATACGTGGAAAAGATTGCAGCTGCACCGGTTTTTAAAAGGCCGGCCTCTGCTTCGGCTTCCTCGCTTGTCAAAATGTGCTGCGGTCTTGTTTTTTTTTTAATTTTTTTTTATTCAGGGTGTTTGAAACATGAATAAATTTAGGAGCAGCAGGTCAGATGATCAAAGGATGACACAACATTTTTATCTCATTTTTTGCCTGCTTGTTGTCAGCTCTGGGAAATTTTGGTCCTGTGAGTTTTACAAAAGATTATCTGTATATTTAACTAAAATTAGCTCATTATTATGCAAGGTAAATATTCAAATGAATTATAAACTTTTCAACCCCTGAATGAGATCCAGTTTTTCTGTTATAACTCTGCTAACGAACACGTTTTGTCGTGTTGAAACAGAATGCAAGTTTTACTTTGGGTTCCAGGTTATATTATTTTTTGCAGGAATGCTAAAATTACATGGATTTCTCAAGAAAAAGCAGTGAATATGATACAAAAAACAAAACCATTTGATGGATTCGGACAAAAAATGTTGTGTTTTCAGAAAGGTTTTTGCTTTGTGGTACAGTTTATTCCTCTTTCTGTTGTTTATTCTTGCAGCTTTAATATCCATAATGTCTCTAAGTTTCTCAGTGAAGCTGCAGCCCTGAATGTTAGGGTTATGAAAACTGATTAAGCAAAAAACAAAACAAAAAAAAAACTGATCTAAATCTGCCTGTCTGCATTCCCAAACAGTAGGTTAGATCATAAATAAGTGTCTGATAAAATGAGAACAAAGAGAGCTGAGGTTTAGATRAAAAATAAAACAAYGTCCAGTTTTTCCAGCTGCACACAAAATTATAAACTTTTGGAAACTCAGCTCTGGTTGTTTGGTTGCAAAAACTCAGATCCTACYTGAAAAGTTGCTTATTTTTACCATCTGGTCTCACAGAAAGAACTACAGTCTGCATCGACCAGTTGTTTACAGTTTGTTAGAMTCCTCAGATAACTAAACTAAACGTGAGCTAAGAACTGATCTAAAGGTACTTTGTGTTCCGTTTGATTTCATGACGAATAATCGAAGAAGAATTTTGACATTTACTTGGTGAGCTGCCTGGAGGATGATGTAAAACGTGGGAGTTGGAACTGGCAGGCAGAAATTCAACTTCAGATGTGATTTTTTATTTTATTTTATTTTTGCTGTTATTTGTCAGACTTTCCAATTTCCCAGTTTTGTTTAAAAATTGCAACGTTTGATGCGAAACTTGGAGAAACTCTTCTWAATGATGATGTTTCTCAGATTGTTTTCTCAGTTTCAGCTCCTTTATTTGTGCCAACTTAATGAACAAATCAGAAAATGGTCCCATTTCTTAAACCCTTACAGTTTAATTAGCCTAATATTTTATTTGCTACAATAAACTATGGGGTGCCAAGTGAAAAATGAAATGTTAAAAACTTTCACACAATTTTCATTATTTAGCTCACTGTTCTTACATTTAGCTATATTTACTAAATGTTCAATTTAAACGTTAAAAAATTGTTTAGATAATAAATCCAAATCTAAATGTTTAAATCTAAATGTAAAAGTTAAACTTTAAATGTTGAAGTTCACATTTAGGTATTTTGGAAGAGAATGCAGCTTTTGCTGTTATGATGTCATCATTCTGAGACAGTAGCAACAGCTAGCGCTCCGATGCAGCTATCAAACTTGCAGTTATGGCTGGTGTCTGAGCTGCACTTCAAATCACACATATTGTTTTTATGAATTGAATTTAGATTTTAAATGTTATCTTTAGCAACATTAGCWGTGGCTAGTAGTGGCTAGCAGCAACCATTGTTGATGTTTGTTGCAGAATGATGACTCCATCCTGGTTATCTGATGCTAACTTTTGCTAATGCTAACTTCTGCTAACCACTACTAGTTGCTGCTAATGTTGCTGAAGATAATATTTAAGATCTAAATTMCAAATGTGTTAATAAAAACTATAAAGGTGGTACCTGTGGTCCAGCAGACTGAAGTGCAGCTCAGACACCAGCCAGAACTGCAAGTTTGATGTCTTGTAGGCTTTAGCTGCACTGGAGCTAGCGGTTGCTATTGTCTCAGGATGATGATGTCATAACATGAGCCGAACACCCACTTCAACGGCTGCGTTCCATTCAAAAATACCTAAATGTGAACTTCAACATTTAAAGTTTAACTTTTACATTTAGATTTTAACAATTAGATTTAGGATTCAATATTTAAATATATTTTTCAATATTTTATTTTACACTTGGCGCCCCATAATAAACAACCACCAAATTAACSAGGTGATTGAATTCTTTTGTCAGTCGCCACAAATGAATAAAACAGTGGAACAAGGGTGATGGTGTCGGAGCACCCACAATCCCTCAGCCTCTCTCCAGTCATGAGAAATCTGTTGTTTGTGCTCGCTGGAGGGAATCATTTCTGGACAGCGATGCGTTTTATCGTAAAAGCCCAGTGATTCACTGCAGCCTGGTTCCTCCAGACTGAAATCAAAGCCACGTTGGCAGCGCCGGGGCTGCCGAGGAGACATAATGTTTAGTCTGGAGTGGATTTCTCTCTGTCCCTTTTGTCTCCTCACCTCCTCGGAGCTGGCACCTCTCCACGAGGGACATCAGCACGGCTCTGCTAAATTTAGACGAAGCCTGTCCTCCCGTCGTTCTGTCAAACCCGGCCTCTTCTGAAGCCGAGGCAGATATCAAACAGCCGTGACTCTGTGCAGCCAGGGTTGATCGATGAGGGCTCCATCAATCGTGGGGATATTTCAGCAGCTCAGACGCTTTCAGGCCGAATTATTCATGAGAATTCATCAAAAATCATAGGAGCTTTAATCGAGTGACACGCTCAACCAGAATGCTTTCACATTTGTTTACAGCCTGTCTAACTGTTTTTATTCATTCGTTTATTTTTCTCCCTTCAGCCTGTTCACCTGGCCCAGAGCTGTTTTCAGGTGGAAGCCTTCGGACGCACCTTCACTCTTGACCTGGAACTAAACCAGTTAGTATCACCGGATCTGTTCTTCGCTACATGCTTGTCATCAGCGAGAGCTCCTAATTTACTGCAGCTGTTCTCATTAGCACCCCCCCCCCCCCCAAAAAAAAAGCTCTATTACACAAATGCACTTAGCGCCTCTATTATACTACATGACAAGATGGGGAATACCAATGTGGCATTCTCCCAGGCGCACACACACACACGTTTAATAACACAACACACTAATAGTTTCTGTAAGTCTTTATGGAATACATTTGAGGTGAAACCTTGGGTGGAAGATATCCTAGATTTAATGATGTCTGATTTGAAATATGCCGATGTCTGTCCCTGAGTTTTTTTTTTTGTTTTTTTTTTTGCAGCCACCTGCTGTCATCAGAATATGTGGAGCGACACTTTAATCACTACGGCAGACCCTTACAGTCCCTGGTAAGATTTTCAGCGTGGGGTGAGAATACGGTGTGTGGTGACAAAGAGCCGCATGCAGCGGCCTTCAGATAAAATTCTGTGGAGCAAAGGTCTAAAATCTGTATTTTCCAGGCACATAGTTTATATCACAATCAAGTGATACCTTCAGTTGTTATGAAGTTGCTGTAAATATCAAAAATAAAATTTACTTTGCATCATAGTCTATCATAATGCCTTGAAATTGGCCTCTGTTTCTTTACGAACCTCCTGCCGTTTCAGATACTCCCACTTCAGCATGTCTTAAAAACAATCCTTTGTGGGAGGGGGGCTCTGTGGGGCGGTAGCTCAGCTGCAGACTGAGCTTCAGGGAGGAGCTTTATGTAAATAAGTGTTTTTCTTTTGTAAATGGGCGGAGCTTTGTGTAAATAGGTGGGGTTTTGTGTAAATAGGTGGGGCTTTGTGTAAGTAGGTGGGGCTTTATTTAAATAGGTGGGGTTTTGTGTAAATAGGCAGGGCTTTGTTTTAATAGGCGGGGTTTTGTGTAAATAGGTGGAGCTTTGTGTAAATAGGTGGGACTTTGTGTAAATAGGTAGGGTATTGTTTAAATAGGTGGGGCTTTGTGTAAATAGGTGGGGTATTGTGTAAATAGGTGGGGCTTTGTGTAAATAGGTGGGGTATTGTGTAAATAGGTGGGACTTTATGTAAATAGGTGGAGCTTTGTGTAAATAGGTGGAGCTTTGTGTAAATAGGTGGAGCTTTGTGTAAATAGGTGGGGCTTTGTGTAAATAGGTGGGGTTTTGTGTAAATAGGTGGAGCTTTGTGTAAATAGGTGGAGCTTTGTGTAAATAGGTGGAGCTTTGTGTAAATAGGTGGGGCTTTGTGTAAATAGGTGGAGCTTTGTGTAAATAGGTGGGGCTTTATGTAGATAGGCAGGGTTTTGTGTAAATAGTCGGAGCTTTGTGTAAATAGGTGAGGTTTTGTGTAAATAGGCGGGGCTTTGTGTAAATAGGTAGAGGTTTGTGTAAATAGGCGGGGCTTTGTGTAAATAGGTAGAGGTTTGTGTAAATAGGCGGGGCTTTGTGTAAATAGGTGGAGCTTTGTGTAAATAGGTGGAGCTTTGTGTAAATAGGCAGAACTTTGTACCAGCAAGCATTTAGGCAGCTCCACATGTCTACCACAGGAAGGATTTCAAGGATTTCTTAAACTCAAACATGAATGAGTTAAAGCAACACTCTGGGAATGTTTTTTGATGAGGAAATTACATTATAACATGATATACCCCCTCACTCACACACACACACACAAACACAATTTTAAATTCTTTATAAGGGGGAATAATGGAAGTTTTCTTCACCTGCTATCATCTACCTCTCCATAGGTTGGCAGCAGCAGTGTTAGTCAGAAAAATTGCACTGCCTAAAATAATTAACATAAATACAAAAAAATGTGTGATTTTTTTTAAAATTACAATTCAGTTTTGCCAAAATTTAACAACCAATCTGGCTCAATGTTGCATTTGCCTGTAAAATCTTTTGTTCCTTTCAAAATAAAAGCTTGGTCAGTCAGATAAATCCCTCATTCTGTTCAGAGTAGATATTTGTTTCAGGCATGTCTGAAGCGAAGCTTTTAATTTAGGCATTTCTTTGAAGATGAAGTTTTTAGATGTCTCATTGGTATTTTTAGAGTTTGTTCTCATCCTGATGGTTTGTCTATTTATAGAACGTGCATTTTGTGTTTTCAGCTTCAGAAGTAGGCTGCTATGCAACTGATGCTGCTGGTCTGCACGTTTCTGCATTTGTGGGTTTTATCAGGCGGTCGAAGCTTTTCTCGGACGGTCGAGACAAAAAGAAATCAACCAGAGAAAAGAGAGAGCTGGTAGTAAAACTTTACAGTGGTGTGTTTGCTCCCTGCTCTCCAGGATGATTTTTTTTACAATTTTTTTATTTTATGTATTATTATTATAATTATTTTTAAAAACATGTATCGTTCACTGCCCCTCGAGCACCCACCCAC